TGCTTTAACCCGCTGTGCCACCGGAGAGGGCCCCCATAGCATATTCTTAATCCAGACTTTCAATTTCAAATATCCTCCCTACCCACTCAACCCAAACAGCATCTTTTTCTTCCTAAGCGTGACCTCCATACCTGTACCTAATATATACAACCTCTAAAGGCAGCAAGCCTGGGCAGCCAATCTCAAATCTCCTTTTCAACTCTTGGGGGTGACAGTGGCAATGACAGAGGTAGCCCCAGAAATCCTAGTGTTACAGGGCAGAGAGAGAGGGACACCCTTGAACCCCCAAACCTGCCTGCTCGTAAAATGTTCTGCCATCTGCCGTATCACGACCAAACATTTAAGACTTTAATGAAAAGGAACTTTAATACAGTGAGCATACAACACAGAAGACAAAGAATATAGTTTCTAGATCAAACACCTGAAGTTACCCATCCCCTCATGGGCAAAAGTCCACCCAAAAGGGATTGGCCCAAAGCAAGGCCTGAAAGCTGCCACAGGACTAAAGCACCTTCTGGCCTGGGCCCATGGAAAAGGGTCAGACATGGCCAGACAAATCTGGGAGGAAAAGAGCAAAATCAAAATCAATATAAATGTTGCCATAGTCAGCCTCCACTCGGGTCTTTCACCCAAATCCGTTTCAACCAGCACAGGGCCAAGAAACAAGCCTGGCTTCTTCATCACATGCTTGCTGCTCCATGTGGCTTCCTCAGGTCTCCTTCTGGCTCTCCATCCTGCTTCCTCCCTTTTCTGATTCCTTCTCTTCTCTCCTTTTCTCTCCTCAGCTGCACCCTCCTGGGTGGGGCAGGGAACCTGGAACTTCCCCTTTTCCTAGGGACCACCCTGTGACACTAGCACCATTTGCACAAAATCCTATGGATTTTTCTTTACTGTCTTCAGATGCTAAAAACTCCACTAAATCAACTTAATTTCATTTAGCTGAAAATCACCAAACTATACTCCACAAAGAGTTCCACTTTTATTTTAATGTTCACAATAAATCAGCATCAAATACCTATGGGTTATGTTTTATTCTTAGCATCTCCACAAATTCATTTAAGATGAAAGGGAAAATGTCCTTATCAGTTTTACTCTCACAACCCAAGAGCTTTAAAAGTTATCAGGTGCACTAAAGATAATCCATTGTAATGTATTTCAAGATTAGTTCATGTTTCCTATCCTTGCACCATGCTTCAGAAAACAGAAGCAAATGACATTGTGTTCACCTTGATCGTCCTTAGAAAGACACAAAACATGGGAAGAAGGTTTCTGTAGCCATAATCACATTCCCTTTTTGTAAAATTCCTAAGGATATCTAGTCATACAGTATTTTGGATTTAAATAAACCTTCAAAATCTTCATTGGGCATTCTGTGTCAAAGGTGCCTGGAAGTTGAACCACAGACTGAAATTTAAATGGGGCTCACACTTATGGTGAATCCAGAGCTAGTTAGAGCCAAGGTCAGGGTTTGGGTCAAAGCACCTGGCCCCAATGTGGATGTCTTTAACCTCTGTACATCCTGCCTGTTGAGGCCAAACAGCCAGGGAGGTTGGTTGAAAGAGAAGGGAAAAGGCTTGACTGTCCTAGATTCCTCCTTTCCCTACAAATGACAGGGCACACAACCATGGTTCTTAGCCTGGTTTTGATTTTTATCTAGCGGAGACCAAGCATTGAAATTAAACTCCTTTGAAGTGGTCATTCTCCACAACTGTGCCATAAACAGCATCCCCTTACATTTTATTTCCCTTTCCTGTCCTAAAAGACCTGTTTAAAGTCTTGAATTAGAATGATAACAAAGGTCCTTTTCTTTTGTGAAAGCCTCCACTTGGTATGGAGCTTCTCCTAAAGGTGAAACGCTGTACCCAGTGATTTGCTACTGTCATCCTCCCAGTCTGTCCCGTGTGCCCATTTCCCAGCCAAGGACACTGACGGTGTTGGGTCCCAGCCGGGATGAGCCTCCCCAACCACCCCCGGACCTTAAGCATAAGATCGTAATAGGAAGAAGACATC